TTTCTCTGTGGCCCTCAACAATCTGGTGCCAGAATGTAGAAAGGAGGAGTGTTAATCCCTCTTGAAAGAGCAATATTTTGATCCACTGGGGTGTGAATCTGTAGCTTCCTGGTGAAGCAAACAGGCTTATGCTCCCCAGTTTATTAAATTCAATGTCTAATTCCCTTTGCCCCCTTCATTAATAACTAGTTAACCACCACAGTAGCACAGACATGGCCCAACCCTAAGGGGCATGGCCACTTCCAAATGCACATCTGTGTGGCACTGATGTTCATGCACTTGCTTAGGGAGCAGGTGGAAATATATCTGCTGGGTCAACACTTCCTTCTGAGCAGGGCTTACAGACAAGGGAGTGGACTACTTGTTTATTCTCTAACATCACTCAAAGTTCAGTATCTAAATATAATTCCATAATAATGCTTTATTTGCGGTAGTACTGTTTGTAACTTTCTTGTTGTCAATGTGTACTCCTTAAGCCTAGATGACAGGTGTTTCTTTTATTGTTAAGAAGCAGATATATCTGCCTCCTGGTCCTTTCTGATCACAGGCAGTATTTGCTTCTTCCCTGTTGACCTCTCCAAATGCTATTTACCAAAAGCTAACAAACACAAGGATTCCCAAATGGCTCTAGACCCATTTAGTATTGGATTTTATAACACTGGAAGGTAAACATTTATTTTTGCAGAAATTAGTTTTTGTTTTCCTCTCTGAGTTTGTCAGTGAGAAAAATCTTATGTAAAATGTTTTTCTCACTGTTATTGTACTGTGGTAGAATGGGTTCATTTGTTAAGGATGACATTTCTTATGCAAAGTGTTTTTCTTACTGTTATTATAATGTCTTAGAATGGGTTCATTTGTTAAGTGTGACATTTGGGGATTTGTTTCCTTCCCTTGTGAGCCTGGGGACTTGTTTTTACTTGGTTAACTTGTGGGTTCTCTCACTTTAAGGCAATTTCCACATCTCAGAACATCAATGCCCTCGGGCTGTCACAGTCAGGTTCCCCCAGGACCGCCTGTCTGGAACTCTCTCCTGAGCAGTCCTACCCATCGTCTTTTGCCCACAGGGCCCAGATGCATCCAGAAGGGAATTCCTTTTTCTCACTGGTCCCATCAGGAACCTACTATTTGCTTAAATCAATGGTCCATTCTCAACTATTATTTCCTCTAATACATTGGTTTTCTTGACATTGGACATAGAGTAACTTTTTGAGGAGAAGAACTGCATCATTTTCAGCCATGTAGATGCTCTATACATATTTGTGAAAGGAATGCATATTTGTGAAAAGAATGCACATATCCTGCTTTTGTAAACTTGACCCTTGATGTGATTCAGCCTTTTTGATGCTATTTCTAACTAGTCTTAATCTCTAGCTTGTCCTCCTGCCTCCTCAATACACATTTCCCAAAGTGCGGTTCTAGGCTTCTTCACTCCTTCTCCTGGGACTCTCACCCTCTCATAGCCATTATCTCTCATCACTGTGTCCCCAACACTCTGCACCTTTTCTTCTCACCTCTGGACCATTAACTCGGCTCAGCAGTCTACCCCTGAATGTCTGCAGGCACTTCAACTGGTCCCCAGGGGAACTCATCAACTTGTTTTTCTGCTTCTCTTTTTTTTCTCTTTTCTAATTAATAGCATCTTCCCAGTCTCACAGACACTGGTAATTCTGTAGATCCAATTTAATGCTTATGTTTTTTGTCTGGAATAGTGACTGAGAGCCCCCGTTCAAACCCCTGCTTAACTAAACAGAACCTTCTCCATGAACACCTGCAACCACAAGAATCCCTCAATGACCCTGCATGGCACTTTCCTCCCATGGCCACTTTTTCCCCTGTGCCCTTTGCCTTCCTTTCCCTTGTATTACTGAATATTGCAATTTTTTGAACATGTCTCATCTCCTTAACTAGAGTGTAAGCATTTTGAAGGAGCACTTGTGTCTCAGTCAATTTTGAGTCTGGGCAGGGCCCCAGGCCAATCAATACCTTATGGGGCACAGATTCACATGCAGGGGCTGGGAAGAAAAGCCTGCTCAAGGTTGCTTGTTCTCAAGCCCTGCTAGTGGTGCCATCTCCCTCAGAATCCCATAGGCCATCACTTCAGTTGCACGTGAAACAATGCGTCCTGAACCGTGTGAGAGTGAAGCTGGTGTCACCCATGCACAGTGGGACACTCACTTCAAAACGATATTGACTAACTAGAAAGATAAGCTGTTGTTCATGAGAAATTATCAAAATGATCTATATTAATATTAACAGACCAATTATTATTAGAAATAGCATTTATGGAATGCATGCAATTTTATGTAAAATCTCATTTATTCTTAAAAGCCATAGGGTACCATTTTTGTGCCCTTATATGTTCCGAAGCCCTTTAAAGTTCATATCTCAGGAGCTGTGAGATGTAGAAGAGCAGTGGTGGTGGACCACACTGTCTTTTGCCAAACTTGTAAATGCTTGTTCTATCCTCTCTCTCCCCTGAAATACCTCAGTCACAACCACTAAACAAACGAAGAGACCACTTGACACTTAGACATGGTGACTGGCATGGCCAGGACTGACATCCAGTTACTGGGCAGAGTCAAAATGGGGTTCCAGGTCACCTGGCAGCTGAGGGTTAACAGTGCCTGTGGGTCCCCCAGCATGGTGCTCAGTGCTCAGCATTCCAACTGTTCTCATCCAAGTTGCTGCCACCATGGGCCAGCCCTTGTGAGAAGGCAGGATTCCACCACACCTTCCACAGGTGCATTGCCTCCCAAGGCTTGTCCTTTCATCCTCCCTGGAATTCATGGGGAATAAATGAAAAACCAAATGGGCATGGCCTGCCTAACCTTCTTTCTTTTTAATTTTGTTCCAAGAAATTTAACTAACACACAGAAAGACCCAGTCAATAGGTAGTAAATGGTTTCTAGAAGCTGAACATCCTTTGGGCCACCCCAGTCTCATTTACTCGGTTATCTTTCTAGTTCATGGTGAGTGAAGAAGGAGAGGGCGCCTGCAGCCTGGCTTCTTTACCAGTCGCCTCGCCCGCTCTAGGGGATGGCAAAGATGGTAGCTGTACGAGCAAAGACGTCGACATAGATAACCTCGTGAGGGCATACTGTGTGCTAAGCATGGGCTAAGGCTGTTGTCCTGTGTATTTCCAACTCTATGGTTCTCAAAGTGTGGGTCCCCATACTAAAGGGTGGATGCTCCTGGGTCTTGTTAGAAATGGAAATACTCAGGCCCCACTCTAGACCTTCTGAAAATGGAACTGTGGGGAAGGGGCCAGCAATATGTTTCAACACCTCCAGTAATGCTGGTGTTCCCTCCCTTTTGAAGACCATAGTTCTAGCAAATAGGTCTATTTTTTCATCTCGGGCACAGCTTACTCAGGCTCCCTGGGCTGCTCTGATATCTCTGTTCAAGTGTCCTACACCTACATGGAGGGAAAATAATTACGAAGACTGGTTACTCAATGTTCGGCATGTATATGATGCCAGGGATAATTCTAGACATCTGTGTATATTAACTTGTTTAATGCTCACCAAAACCCTATGGGGTCCGCCTTCTGCAGATGATGAAATTGAGGCACAAACTGATTGGTTGAATTTCCCAGGGCCACGCAGGTAATAAATGCTAGCACTAGGCTCTGAACCCAAGGCTGTCTGATGCCGGTCTGCACTCCCAGCCACACTGTATGCCTCCTTAGAGGTTTCTGCCATCTCCCCACCCAGGTTCCATTTTTAATCCTTTCCAAGCAGCTGTATTAGTCTGCTAGGGCTGCCATAACAAAGTACCAGAGACTAGGTGTCTTAACAGAAATTTACTTTCTCATATTTCAGGAGGCTGCATCACTCCCGGGAACAACAGTCTGACCTAGCGAGGTCACCCTGTATGTATGCTGCAGAAGTATGGCTTTAATTTCCCAAAAATTGCCTTGTGTAACTAGGTTGTGAGACTTTTGCACAGTATCTGTAAATACAGCTTTCCTGGGTTTCATTAGAGCGCACTCAGAGATCTTCTAAAAAGTCTTCTAAAGTATTGTTGTGAACCTCTGTCATTGCAATCACCTGGGCTGCTCCTGGAACCCCTGAGTGTCCTATCGCATGAGCCTGACTCTCCAAGGGTAGATCCATGGGGTGTGCGTATCTAAGAACCCCTTTTCTGTCAGCCTCTCCTGGACTCTTGCATCTAGTGATTCTTTGTATAAAAAGGTATCATCGACCTTTAAGTCTATGAAATTGGGCACATCTGGCCTGTGTTTCAGCTCTTCCATTACTAGGCGTGTGACTTTAGGACAGGTTAGCATCCCTGAGACTATTTCTTAGTTTGAAAAGCAGGAATTAATCTAGGTAATTAATAGAATTAATCTAGCAACTTCCTAGGGCTGCAGTAAGGATTAAATTAGATCATATAAATAAAGCACTCAACGCCACATGCTTGTGGAAGGAGATATGTGCGAGCTCTGTCAGCGCCACTTCTGCCCCATGGTAGCATGTTCATTTACTAAGCAAATATTTATTTTACATCCTGAGAGCAAAGCACTAATCCTTTAACATCACATCTGGCGCATGACTACATGTCTGGATCACTTAGCACATGTACGGTAAGAACCGGTGTATGTGCAGATGGAAATGCCCATACGGCAGTTGATAAATAGGACCATGGGACAGTGGGATGGTGGGCATGCTGGCCAGGGAAGGACAGGGGGCCACAAAGAGAAGAAATCTTAGAGGACATCTGCCAGCCGGCAGCAGTGGAGACCTAAAAGCCAGGCCTGGATTCTACCCAGGCATACACCTTGGGTGCTGAAGGAGCACAGCTGTTCTGGGCTGGCATGGTGGGCTGAGCATCAGTGGTCTTCTGACTCACAATGGCTGAGTTGCCTTTTCTACTAGAGTTACTGACACACCAATTTTTCTGCAATCTCTGAACTTCCTGAAGATCTGTTGGCATCACAGTGGGTTGGACACATATTTGAAATGACAAGTTACAGACCTTCTTGTGTTTTGCATTTACAGAGGAGCTGAAGGCCCCCCTGGAGGAGTATGTGCACAAACGCTATCCGGGACTGGTGAAGGTGGTGCGCAATCAAAAAAGAGAGGGCCTGATCCGAGCGCGCATCGAGGGCTGGAAGGCCGCCACTGGCCAGGTCACTGGCTTCTTTGATGCCCACGTGGAATTCACTGCTGGCTGGTAGGTCGTAAGTTGAACCCTAGGGGCCTGCAGGTGGTCAGGAGCAGTCAGGAGGTGGGGCACTGAGCCTCATTCCCCCGAGGCCACTGGAAGAATGGAGAGGGGGTGGTTGGAAAAGAAGGTGAGACTGTAGTCTGAGATAAGACTAGGAAGCAAGGAGAAATTTGTCTGTTGGCACTCAGTCCATCATTGTCATTGTCATATGTTTATGTGATTCCTCATTCTGGGGCAGGCACTATGTGTCAGCTTTCACTCCGTTTTCCTGTAGCAATCATCTGTAACCTCCTGACTGATAGTGACAGGGCTTTCTATCTTGTCCATGTGCCAGGTCCGCTGTGGGTTGTTTGTGGCTCAGAGAGAAGAACAACAGCGGAACCTTGCAATGGCTGTGAGAGTTTCTGCTCTGTTGTGACACTGTCACTTCTGCTCACATCCCACTGGTCAAAGCTAGTCATATGTCCAAGCTAAGCATTGATTGGGGCTTAGGGAGAGAGTATATGTATCAGGATGTCCCCTGGAAGTGGGGAGCAAATTACTGGGAACAGTTGTAGATTCTATCACAGACTGGAGATCAAATTCCTCACTTCAGAAGCAATATTTGAACATGGTTTTCTGTCCCCATACTCAATAACTTCTACCAGAGAGATGGACTGAGCTGGATGCTTCTAAATTCACTGTACCAGACCACCCTGGAGGAAGTGTGACCCATTCAAGGAGGCAGTGAGGTTTTGGGGTTAGGGCTGAAGCCAGACAGACCATCTGGGTTAGAAACCTGGTCTGCCACCAGCTGGGTATGTGGCCTGACTCAAGTGACTTAACCTCCCTCTGGAACTGTTTTCTCATTTGTAAAAGGGTGACCATAGTAGCTATTGAAATGGGATTATTGTGAGATTTAAATTAGCCAGCACATATGACAAGTTTAGAATGGTGCCCAAGTTGTAGTAATTATAAGTATGAGCTATTATTAGCTCATTAGGAAAAATGTGTGTTCAGAGATTAGCAAATGCATCATATGGTCAAGAGTCACTTGAATAAGATGGAAAAGATGGTTTAAGAGTTGAAAGTAAGAGAGAGCCTTCCTGCTGGGGGAAATTAGGGAAGTCTTCCTGGAAGAGGTGTTAAATGATCTAATAAGCCTTGGTAGGTGGCCAGACTTCCAGTGGCAAAAGGGCATTCCTGGATGAGAGCAGCATGAGTGAAGATTTGGAGGGGGCATAGCACTGAAGCATGGCTGAAAGCTATGGAAAGTCCATCCCATTTGGCTTCAGCCTAGATGGTGTGAGTAGAAGTACTGGAGGCAGTATATGGTCCAGGATATATTTTATTGCTCATTTTAAATAGAAAGATGAGGTGAGCCAACAGGTAATTCAATAGCTGCAAATGAAAAGAGATGTGATGTCGGCCGAGCATTCTCATTATTTTTCCAAATAATGCAGAGGAATGGGATTTTCACTTGACTCTTTTCCAGAGCTTGTGCTCTAAGTTAAGTGGGGAGATTAATGTCCTGGCTTGTGAGAGCCATCTTCTCCTTCCTGAATGTGGGGAATGATCCCCTCCTGCATCTGCTGCAGAGACACACATTGGCAGGGTGTCTTACCATCTGCTTTTTCCTAAGCCAACAGAGCTACACCTAGAATGTCCAGCCAGCTCCCTGCCTATCTCCAGGGATGCCCTAAGGGGCAGATTTGCTAGGAGGCAGGATTCTGCCTACGTTTGCATTTAATTCATCTGGTGGCCATTGCTAACCAATTCAATTAGATCTCATTTAAGAAATCAACTAAATAATCAATTAAAACAACGGAAATAGTCACACACACAAAGAAGCTTATTAAAACCAGGCCATCAAGAGCAGAAGTGACCTATTTTGGGAAAGGGAATTCAGTTCCTGCAGAAAATACTGGTTTCCACCAGTGCCCTGAGGGGAAACTGGAAACACTGTATAGCTGAAATGCGATGGAATCATAGAGTTCAGACGGCCCTGCTTTGGCCGGCACTGTTGGCATAAAAGACAGGCCAGGCACATTGTGAAACCTCGCTCCAGGCCTCTCCTGCGGGTGTCAGCATTGAGCATCCCCCGTGGGCAAGGGCCGAGTCACATGCTGCAACTGGGGCAGGCTGCTCGGGAGCTGCGGTTTCTGTCTGAGTTCCAGCCTGCCAAGGCCCCACCTTTATGTACGTGGCTTCTGTTCATTTCCTGTGGTCGTGGGGGTCTGTGCACCTTGAGGTGTGGTTTACCACAGGAGAGAGATTTTATTTCTACTTCTCTGTTTCAGGGCTGAGCCGGTTCTTTCCCGAATCCAGGAGAACCGGAAGCGGGTGATCCTCCCGTCCATCGACAACATCAAACAGGACACCTTTGAGGTGCAGCGGTACGAGAACTCGGCCCATGGGTACAGCTGGGAGCTGTGGTGCATGTACATCAGTCCCCCGAAAGACTGGTGGGACGCCGGAGACCCTTCTCTCCCCATCAGGTCTGTGGCAGGCAAGCTCTGGTGGCCACTGAGTCCCTGTGGGACCAGAGGACAGGAGCCAGGGGAGGGAGGCTGGGAGAGACCCCTGGGCACGGAGCAGCAGAGGTGAATGGCTGCTTTAGGAAACCTGGGTGCCCGGCTGTCACAGCATTTGACTCCTTCAGCTACAGTTTTCCAGTGTGGCTTACCAAACAGAAATACTGAAAAACTGAAAGCATAGTGTAACCCAGGGTGTCAAAGTCCCCTTTCTGAGACCCCAAGTGGGCTTTTTTGTTGTTGTTCAGCACAAGCTAAATTTAATTGTTCCATCCAGCATTAAAAGTGGAGGCACACAAAAAATAATAACTCAGTGGCCAAACAATGGAGAAGTAGAATTATGTTGGCTCTCAGGTCAACTTCTCATTTTGGCTTGTGGTGGACAAGGTGTACATACAGGAGGACAGAAGGAGGAATATTCACTATCTTTCTGGGAAGGGGATGGTAGTTTTCTCCAGAATCAGGGTTCCACCTCTTTTTGTCCTTTCATGGTCCCTTCTGGTTATCGTCATGGTGATTGCCAATTGTCAAGGTGCTGGTGGGTGTGTCATTTAGCATGGAGATTAGATTATAACGAGATTTGAGGTTGTTGAGTGGCCATCCGGATTTCAGCTGGCTTTAACTGACTCCTTCTTAGGAAGGAACTATTACCTGCTGGCCATCCTGTTTCTTCAAGATAAATAGAGTTAGGGAGGGGAAAGGGGTCAGCCAGGCCATTTAGGCCTCCTGTGGAGTGTCAGTAGGAATGAATGCTCACACTTTTTGATTCTTCCTTATATCTGATACACCGTGTTCAGGACCTTTTAAGTGTGAGGTTTGAAACATTAATTCCTGGGCTCTTTCATACTTGCCACCTTTATTATTTCAGTGCTCTCCACCCTTCTTCATGGTACAGGAGTAGAAAAGGAGAATATTTATGTGGCACCTGGGGTGACCGAGGGCCTTGGGGTGGCTCTGCAAGAGCCTTGCCCTAGTTCCCAGCCAGCCTCCCTGGAGACAAGGAGATCACAGCCTCATGGTGTTTGGGTTGCGAAGCTCACATACAAAGGGTATTGAATGAAGCAGGTGGATTTTGAGGCCATGTTTGTTCCCTATGGTTGTTGTAACAAATTTCCACAAACTTAGTGGCTTAAAGCACATGAATTTATTCTGTTACATTGTAATGGTCAGAAATCCTAAGTGAGCCTTAACGGAGCTGACCCCAAGGTGTCTGCAGAGCTGGGGCCTTCTGGAGGTTCAAGGGGAGAATTCACTTCCTTGCCTTTTCCAGCCTCAGGAGGTTGTCCCCACTCCTTGGCCCGTGACTGCATCTCACTCCTTTCCCCCATTTCCTTCATCACATGGACTTCTTCTTTCTTTGACTTTCTTGCTTACCCTTGTGATGGCATTTGGCGTCCATGTGAATAATCCAGGATAACCTCCCCATCTCAAGATCCTTAATCACATCTACCCAGTCCTTTTCCCACATACAGTAACATTTGCAGGTAGATTTGCAGGTGGGGGGGCGGGGGGGGTCATTATTCAGCTCACTATGAATGCCCTGATTTTTCAATTAAGATGATAGTTCCATACTTTCTGTGATTTCTAGTTGAGGGCCAAACTGATTTAAAATCTTCTTGGTTCTGTCTTAAGTTAGAGGAGATGGGAGAGGCATTCTTTGTCCTAGTTAGAACACTGTCGGTATGAAGGGGGATAGAAAGAATGAATAGTGGAATAGGAGTAAGAACATCGTACAGGTAGCCGTGCAGTTCTTTCTCAGTTTACAAAGTTTCAATAAACAAGAGTAAGATTGTGAGATGTACAGAAACCCACCCCACCCCAGCACCCTACCCTCGCCTTGTGTTCTTTTATTTTTCTGCTCAAATTGAAAGCTGAAGAACAGCATTAAAGTAGAGACACCTATGGGCAAATCTTTGTAACAAGGAAGGTGACCTTTTGGGCCAATAAATGTCTTAGCTGGAGATGCCTCCGTGGCTCAGTGTGCACCCCAGCCTAGATGGTCAATGACTTTGTGCAGTGCTGCAGGGCCACACTCTTGGCTGTTTGCAAATAATAATGTAGATACGTCACTAAAGTGTCATCTGAGAACCAAAGCGCAACCACTGGGGTATTTAAATTTTAATAGGTGAGATATAACCTTACACCCATTTGAATGACTATGATTTAAACAAAAGCAGAAAAGACAAGCACTGGCAAGGATGTGGAGAAATTGGAACCCTTGTAGATTATTGGTAGAAATGCAAAATAGTATAGTCACTGTAGAAATCAGTTCCTCAAAATATTAAAAAATAGAATTACCATATCCATCAATTACACTTCTGGGTATATACCCAAGAGGTCTGAAATCAGGGTCTCAAAGAAATATTTATACACCCATATACAAATTATTCACAATAATTTGCATTATTCACAATAGTCAAAAGGTGGAAGTCACCCAGTGTCCATCTACAGATGAATGGATAAACATAATGAGGTATATACATACGATGAAATATTATTTGGCCTTAAAAAAAGAAGGAACTTCTGACACATGCTATCACATGTATAAACCTTGGGAACATTATGCTAAATAAAATAAATCAGTCACCAAAAGGCTATATGATTCCACTCATGAAGCACCTAAAACAGCCAAACTCATAGAGACAGATAACAGAATGGTGGTCACTGGGGACTGGGGACGGGGAGGAATGGAGAGTTATTGTTTCGTGAGCATAGGGTTTCAGTTTTGCAAAATGAAAGGAGCTATGGAAATTGGTTGGTACTACTGAACTGTACACATAAAAACAGTTAAGATAGTAAATTTTATTATGTGTATTTTACCATGATTATAAAAAATTAACACAGAGCACTTTAAAGACTCCTTGGCTCTCAGATTTTGAAGAAATGGAGTTCAGATGATGGACCGACATACAGTGAGTTTCATATTCTTGGCCAAATGATGCTTCCTTCGTGACATACAGGAAGGCTGATCTCTGACCTTCATAAATAAGGGAAGGAGGTGTGATGATGCTGTTAGTGGCAGAGGGGAGGCAGTGATGGCAGTGTACTACTGTGGGATGCCCAGAAAATGTGGCTATCCCTCCATAGGGAGGTCACTAAAGTGAAAATTTAGCTTGTATTTTATGAATTATGGTAACATTAACAGATGATGAATATGTATTTTAAAAAGACTGAAGAAAACCGAGTCCTGATCATGAGTCATTAATGTACATGCATCTCTGATGTACAAAATAGAATTACATACCAATAATCTCTTTTCATGTATCATCACTTATAAAATGCTTAATTTGTTAATGATGGAGATATTTAACTGTAGGAAGGACTTTTTGTGGCCCTTCCGATGTAAGCAGATACAATTCATAAACATTAGGCCATGGTTAGTTTCCTGTCCCCACTGTGGTCCCAATATTTTAATAGTACTGCTTTTATTCTGAGATAAGATGGGATGAGGAGAACTTTTTCACAATCCAAATGGCACTAACTTGCACTAGTCTTTATATAAGAGCTTTCTCAGTAGACAACATAATGTAAGAGATTTTACATTAAGGGAATTTATTTCCTTTCTGTTTTACTTCTTTCCCTCTTTCTTTCTATATATCTTCTGCTTGGTAAACCAAGGTTTTCTGTTTTTCCTCCACTCTCCTTTGTCTATACCAGTTTCTGGTGCAGAGAGGGGGCAGGTGCCATTACAGAGTGTAAGGCATGGAGACGGGGTGGAAGAACACGTGCCAAGTGTAAGGTGTGGGGACGGGGCGGAAGAACACGTGCCCCCAAGGAGTCTGCTGCTGCCCAGCCAGGTGATGGTGCTGGGGGGCACACGGCCAGCAGACTTTTAAGAAAAGACACAAATCCAGATCATTTCATAAAATCTCCTGAATTCCTGAAATCTCCTGAAAGTTTGTGATAAATCCCCCTTCTCTCAAACAACATGTCTCTAGACTGGATTTGACCATGCAGGTCCCTGGGATTTGGTCTTTGGTCCACACTCCATACGGGCTCCCTTGGGGACCCCTGTTATTCCCAGGACAGCTTTACTCCACACTTCTCACGCTGGGAGCTACGGGCACCTCTGCATGCATGTGGTCTTGTTATGGGGCTGAGGGACTTGGGGAGAACGTGACTCAGAGCTCTGGGAGAATGTGGTTGGACCTCTGGAGCTTGAGTGAAGGCCTGAGAGACCCCCTTCCTGCCTCCATTGTGTGCCACTGCCCCCTGCCTGTGGCTGAGATTGTTCAGGGACAGGCTTGGGGAAGCCTTGATCCAGCTTTCGCCTCTGGGTGGAGAAGGCTCTCAAATCTACATCTTAAGTCCTGATTTTTCTCCAAAATGGCATCATCTCCAATGTCATATCAAAAACCTATCATTAGATCAGTTGAGTTTAAGCTTTTCTGAGTCAAGGAAATCTCTGATAATCTAATTAAAGCCAGAGATCATATCGCCCTTAAACATGGATAAACAGACAGACTTTGTGTATAATTTTATGAAGTTTACAGGTGGGTGCCATGAAACCAACTTCTTAGTGATCCACAAGGCTTATATTCAGAATGACTCCTAGATATTTCTACTTTCCCGGTTGGAAAACCTTTCTTTACCATTTTTTTAATTGCCTGCTGGTCTATATGCTTTACAAAGCCAGAACTGTGGTTATTTCAGTTGTATCACCAGTACCTAGTGAGTACCTGGCACTTGCAGGCATGCCGAAAATACGTATTGAATGAATAAACGGATGAGTGACATCTGAGGCTCAGAATTGAGGTCAGGGTTAGTGAACCATGAGAAAGAGGATGATATTGTCCAAAGGTACATTGGAGGAGAAAGAAAACTCCAATATTTCTGGGGTGAAGGGAGCCTTCATAAAAGAGACTGACAAGTAATGAATGCTCAGAGAGGTGTGAGGACAACCAGAAAAGCGGTGTCATAAAGATTTAATATCAGGAAGATGACAAACACCCTTTGGTTTAAGG